CTTAAACTTCTCTCTTGATTGATATAAAACCTGAGAGGGGTTTCATCAGCCAAACAATATGGCCTTGAAAAAGTTACCTACATGTGAGTCACACTAAAACTCTACTGGCGTATAGGTAGGCATACTGGCATTTCTCAGGCTGCAAAAACATCCAGTCTTCCTGTGACTACTGTTGAGGCCCTTCTTAAATGGAAGGCCTTTATTACAAACGACTTAATCAGGGAAAGGAAGAAAAAGACAGCATTTCTTTGTAAATAAGTCCACTACTTCAGGGAAGAGCTAACTGTCAAGAAGGTAACACTCACAAAGTGCGAGAACTGTCTCCCTGAAACTAAGTGGACTGTATCAAGTGCTGAACAAGCAACAAATACAAAATAGAGCAAGGTAAGAGGAAGAGGCAAACTTTCTTATGACACAACACTAAGATATGTCATGTCGCATTAAGCTACTGAAGTGTCTTCACATTCTTCAGCAAGCTAACTTTAGGTTCTAAGCATGTGTTGGATTCCTCATGAGTCTTCACAAATAAGACTGACTGTTTTCTGTTCAACAGAGGTTACCATCTTCTTCCATATTAAAGGTCAATAGAACAGAGCAGAAAACAAAAGAACTATGTGATAGCACTGTACGAAACTGACAGTTTACCCTTGACTTCCAAGTTTTTAATGGCTCTTTGTAATACCAACAAATGCAAAGGTGAAATGGAAATACAGTGAATAAAGCAGCAGAAGGGGAGGAAGACAACCCTTGCAGAAATAAGACCACACCTGTAAACAATGCTGCCTCCAGGGAAATGGCTGCATGCAGAAACTGAATGCATAAGATGGACTATCAGGCAAAAGAAACACAGACACAACTGGATGCCAACAGTCTGTACCACCTGAAGATCAGCATTCGTAAGCCAGATACCTTGGTCTCCGTCACTGATGAATTTAGGGCTCTTAAACAAGCACCACATGCCTTTGAAGTTTTTCAGCTTATTGAGAACTGTGACTCCATTAAAACAGAACTCGGATGCTCTGTTCCCCCCAAACAGCACTAAGTTTTCTATAAGCAGAACCACTTCTCTGCAGAAATATGGGGGCCTTACAACTATTGCAGCAATTTGGCTAAATGCTAGGCGTACTGCCACAGGGGTGGGGAGAAGGGACAGAGAAACTGCAACGGGAACAAGTCATCCCTCCTTGATTTTGTAGGCAACAGGATAGATATGCAGTACTTCCTTATCTGTAGCAGTCACAGCTGGTAGGAGTGTTCCGTTTAGCCCTAAAGTAGTTATCCCTTCAAAATTATTATAACTAAGCTCTTGCCTAGAAAGGTTAATTTCTCTTAATTGTACTCTTTGCTAGACGAACTCTGCCGTATCTTTCCCTTTTGCATTCACTGTAACTAGACTATTCACTAAAGTGGAAAGAAGAGAGGGACAAATGAAAACTCAGCCCCTCAGAGGGGGTACACTCTTATAAACAAAGCATTGGGTAAAAGCAGGTTTTACCAAACCTAAAACTGCAAAATAACGTGGTTTAAGTTTTGCACAGGACTTGCAATACGTAAATCTAGCAGCGGCACCACTGCTAAAAACAGCTTTCTCGCTTAATGGAAGGGCAAGTCCTGCTTTGTCATTTAAAAACAGCTGTTCTTCAGAGAACAGTGAGTGACCTAAAAGCTACAGAATTAATGACTAATTGGATCCTTCACCTGATGGGTCTGCCAGTTTTTTCTGGCTAGAAAACCAAAGGGAGATGAACATGAGATCTGTTGACACTGTTCTAAATATGTTCTACTATCAAAGAATCATCTGTGGAACATACCAGCAAGCAAGTATGGACCCAGCGTCCTCCATGCACAGCCACACATCTTGTTTGGCTGATGAGGGTAAACACGTCACAACTGCTGGACACATTTTGATCGATTACAATTCTTAATTGGTTCTTCTTGCTCTTTGGCAGATTTTCTTACCACCCTCAAAAAAACTTCAAAGTAGAGAAGTGTATAAATTAGTAAGGCAATTAAGGGTAAAGGTGAACTCTGTGAACAAGCACAGACTAAGAGAATATTACTGAGGTGAAGCTTTACTTTTGGGTAAAGTTCCCAGCTACACAGTTCCAAGATAGATGGTGTCAAACAACACATATTCAGATCTGAATCTATGAATAGAGTTTGAATACCCATGAACAGCTAAGAAAAAGGAAAGAACGGTTTCAGGCCTTCATCTGAGTGAAAACATGGATCTGTGTATTTTGGAGACAGCAAGGAGGGACAGGTCTGCCCTACAGGACTTTGTTGCAAGAACTGGACCTATGATGATGCAAGACCTGGTCCCCAGATGGGGGTGCACAGACTTCCAGTATCTCCTACATAAACATCACTATTAGCATTACTGGTTCCAGCCACCAAGATGGAAAAGAGGGGAGGGGGGAAAAAACCCCAAAACCAAACACCACACCACTGTTGCTTGCACTTTCTTCTTCTGCTAGGGGACAGACAAAGCCTAGCCCAAAGCGTGATACAGTAAAGTATATTTACTATTCACCACAATGAAGCCTTGGATCAGAGTCCAAGGGCTGCAGTAGACCAATTCAATGCACTGCAGATGACCTATCCCTCATCTGTAACCTTCTTTTGATTTTTTTTCTTCCAAAATGGAAGGACAGCAAGCAGAGATGGAGCAGCAGTATACAAACTGACAGTCTAAGTAGTTGTGGACCTGTGTCCACCTTTAACATAGTCCTTCTGACATCAAAGTAATTATTATAGTTTTACAGGCACCACACTTACGTCATCCACTTGTAAGCCATTTCTATTCTGTTTCAGATAACTGTCATGTCTTGTAAGAATATACCTGTTGTAGGCAAGGCAGAGCTGAAATTATGCCACCCAAGAAAACCACCTTTAGGAGATAAAAGGGAGAAGATCTTCTCTGAAACAACACAGCAAGGACAGACTAGAGAATGCCAAGCCTTAAAGACTTTGCTACAGTACACATCTCTTCATTGTTATACATACAGCATTACAAAGGTAAGTCATGGGAAGAAGCAGGAACAGTGCCTCCTCTAACAATGTATCCTATTTCTTCTGCAATTATCCTTAAACTCTTGATGGCATTTTCCCTTTTTCTCTCAAAGTATTTTCTCTCCCCAGCCCAGTTGAGGAGGGCACTGATAGAGCAGCTTTGGTGGGCATCTGGCCTCCAGCCAGGGTCAACCCACCACAAAGCCAGAAGACTAAGAATAGTTTTGCTTACCAACCTTTAACATCAAGTCTTTCAGACAAGGCAGAGTAAAAAAGGCACAAAGTAATTACTGACTATGAACTGAGTGCACCAGAAACAAACTAATCTAATTACAGTATATTTATCAGCATAAATGTACGTCTCACTCTCCAGAAAGCCTTCAAATGGCTTTTCTTTTCTAAAGCTCAAACTGACAATATCTAAGACCAATCAGTTAAATAACTGACTTCAATGACTACCTTGAAAGATTGTTTCTGTGCCTTACTTAAATTCTGTCGGCTAAGAATATACAGTTGCTATACATAATCTTACAGTAAAAGGACAGTCTCCACCTGGTGAAAGGGAACAGCTAAACCCCGAAGTACACATAAATAAAGGTCAATCTTTTTTTCTTTAGTATGAATAAGACAATGAAAAATCAGACCTGTTGTGAAAAGTTTTCTACTTCTGTACTTTTAACACATGAAAAAAACCCTGCACCTACAAAATAAGGAACATAATTTCACTGCAACAGTTACACTGTTTCTCAGAAACATTTGCTCACAGCTAACTTACATATACCCACAGTATTGTAAAAATCAGGTAACCTTAAAGCCAGGTTTTTCAAATCGCAACACAATAGACATGTAATTTCAAGAGAAAATATTTTCAGTTTAATCATACTGGTTGACTAAGCTACCTTCATGTATTTCTTGCAATATTTAATGCAATACTTTAATTTCTACTTCCATCTCTGTAAAATCTCTTAAAATTTTAAATAGAAAACTTGCAGATACAGAATCTGAACAGTTTTAGTAGTGCATCAAGTTATATCTGCTACTATTAAGAGCAAGAAATAGAAGTGGTCTATGCAAGTCACATTCAGAGTTAAAAAAGTTGAAAAAGCTGCTCTAAAAATACCTACTTTCACTCAATACTGAATATACATTGCATCCTTCTAGCTTCATCTTATATTGCACAAACTACAGTATTTTTACTAATCTCATCATGAAAAATTAGAAATGCTCAACTCATTTAAAGTTTATTTCTTTAGAAGCTTAACTTAATGCTTTAACAGAGGTTATTTAAAATAAAAATCCAGACAATCCCTCAGGCAAATTAAGTGGTGCAAAACCTGTTCATAAATAAGAAATCCCTCCGAACTCAGGTTTTCCCACCCACACACTGCAGACTCTGGAATTTGTTTTTACTACAGAAAAAAACAGAGAAAAACACAACCCACCCTTAATGCTTCTGAACTGGAGAGAGGGCAATTTCATGCCCTCAGCCACAAAGTGCTCTATAACATGTCTTTACTGTAAAGTGCAAACCTGCAATTTTGTGCACAATTGTTCTATTTGGAATAAAACTGATCCAAATCAAGTAACAAAATTTGCTCTGAGAGTTCTCCTTCAGCTCCAGTGAGAAGAATTGAATATACACAGGGAATAGTTTAAAAAAAAAAAATTAAAACAGTACTTTACTTGGAAAAACCCACAGTAAAAATCCAGTTATATAGGGTTTTTTTCTTATATAAAAAGTATGGATTTTAAGTTTCATAAAGACAAAGAAATAAATACTTGACAAGTATTTAGGCATGAAAAATATCACTACTCCCACTGGATTCAATATATCCAACTGAATTGTGTTATGTATTTTTAAATCATTTTTTCTTGGTTGCAATATTGAACTTGCTTTCTTTGATTCCAAGCTTCTTCAAGAAATTCTTGGTTTATACAAACCAAGTAACAACATGTGATGTCCTCAAAATAGTATCAGGAGCACTTACTCATCGTACTTGATATGATAAATAGCTTCTTCATCAGTGTCCATACAGTCTGAATAAGATGTGGATGGTTTACTGTCCAAATTATTTGCATTTTGTCTAGAATGATCTTGA